TCGTGTGTGTGTGTGTGTGTGTGTGTGTGTGTGTGTGTGTGTGTGTGTGTGTGTGTGTGTGTGTGTGCGCGCATGACTGCCCTCTAGTATACTAAATCACACTATGATAATCTGTGTCATAAACCGTATACTGCCAACAGCTAATGGAGATTCTCCTTTAGCCAAAATTGTAGTAGCCTATGCCTTTGAAGCAGAAAGTACTGAGTTCTACCCCTGTTGCCACCTAGATGCTTTCAGTGGCATGGCATGCAGCAAAGGGATGACTCGGAAGTGTTGGGCGGCCTTGGATTTCTTACAGTATTTACAAATGGGAAAGAGTGGGTGAACTGTCCCCTCAGGTAGGTCACTTCCTTTTGTCACTGTAAAAGCTGATGTACTGCTACTCTCTTCCAGGTCCAGTGCAATCAACGTAGTGAAGATCTTACGTGTCCTGCGAGTGCTCAGACCGCTGAGGGCCATCAACAGAGCCAAGGGGCTAAAGGTTAGAGAAATCCTGATCCCCACAAGTGGTTCTCAAGACTAGAAACCCAGGTTACTTCAGTCAAGAAGTAACAGCCTTTTAACACCACTTGAGTAGTGTTTAAAGGGTTACTGACTAGGTTGGAGGGCCTAATGCACTAGCTTTGGGTTGGTTTGCAGATAGGTGGGCTGTGCTTCTTGCCTCCTCTCTATCAGCCAGGTCCCTTCACCTGACCAGGAAGGGTATTCATATAGATGAGGATCCTGCTGCTCTCTGAGCCGAGTTCTGGTCTTTTCTACACTTTTCTGCCTGCTCACAAGACTACAGCTCACAGTCCAGGGAGTCTTTTCTTCCTTTCCTGAGACACCACTTTATGGAGCTTGTAACCTGGGATTCTTATATTTTTGCTGAAGCCTTGGGCTTCTCCAATAGCGACAGCAGCTCAGGATGGTTCCTCCAGTTACTCTTGCCCCATCTTTCCTTTGCAGCACGTGGTCCAGTGCGTATTTGTAGCCATCAGAACCATCGGAAACATTGTGATTGTCACCACTTTGCTGCAGTTCATGTTTGCCTGCATTGGAGTTCAGTTGTTCAAGGTAAAACCATTGGGTCCATTCATTCATCCATCCCACTGAATCATCTTCTCTGGTGGCCGGGGGGAGAAACGTAACGTGGTGAAGTGTAGGGGAAAGGGGAAATGGAGCTTTGCATGGAGCAGAAACCATCCTCAGTACCGTCAGATAGGAGTCCTGGGTTAAGCAGTAATCCCCCAGGCTCCCATTAGCCAAGTTCCGAAGACACGAGACCAGGCATGTCGCAAAGGTGACTCATTAAACCTCAGGTCATGAGAACCAGAAGCAGCACTTTGCCACCCTCTCCCAGAAGTTTGTGGCATAACATCAATAGCAGTGGGGCTTTTCTCGGGGAATGTCCACGTCCATGTCTTGTACAACTGAAGGGACTCCAGATGAACGCTGAACGTTCCTTCTGTCCTCTCCCTTTGGTTTCTCCTTTTATACCCCACCCTCCTGACACCAGTTGTTACTCAGCTCTTCATGGAGGCACATAGTCAGTTAAGCAAAGAGAAAGTGCAATCTCCTTGCTACACTGATCAACCATAATGAAGAGAGACTTCACTCCTCTTCTCTCATTCTCCCCTAGGGCAAACTGTATAGCTGCAGCGATAGCTCCAAGCAAACAGAAGCAGAATGCAGGTGAGTCCGGCCTTTCCCAGGCAGCTGCATTTCTCAGCTCCGCTCTAACTGGGTCTAAGTTGAGAACTGAAAATCTCTCTTGTTTTCCTTCTGCCGTCCAACAACAGGGGGCATTATATTTCGTACAAAGATGGAGAAGTCACCCAGCCAATCATCCAGTCCCGCAATTGGGAGAACAGCAAGTTCAACTTTGACAACGTCTTGACTGCCATGATGGCACTCTTCACTGTTTCAACCTTTGAGGGCTGGCCAGAGTGAGTGCACAGCTGATCTGGGGGACAAAAGGCTTGGTGATGGGGAGCAGTGCAACTTCCCCATTCATTTCTAAGGGAAAATCAAAATCTAACCATTAATCTTCCCTCGTCTAAATTTTCAGGCAGTGTTGCTTAACAGCTGCCACACCCCAGCCCAGAGGTGGCTGCGTTTCAGAGGTGGGTGAAGTGATTCCGATAATATCCCTTATCATCCACTCAGCAGAGTTATGAGGCTTAATTAGTGTTTGTAAAGTGTTTTGATAGCTTTAAAGGAAGGCGATAGAAAAGTGCAGAGGAGAAGTCGTAGCAGCATTAGTATTTCTGTATATGAAGATTGTAAACCCCTTGGTGCCAGGCCAATTGCCCCTTTCAGCTCTCAGCAAATACTGATGAGTAGTAGAAGCAATATTAATATTTTGATTACTACTGATTAATATTAACATTATTATTCTTTCAACCAAGTGAAAGCAATTGTTCCCATTTTGACTGTTCCAGCTAGATGCCCAGTACTAAATGCTTGGTATTGTAGAATACTATGTGTATAATAGCTCCCTGCCATGCCATACTTTATCTGTGCTGTGAACTGCACGTGAGGCACATTATCAATAGTTACGGAGAATGGTGAGTTTTCTCACGGGTCCACCCCACCAGTGCCAGGCTGGTGTGAAATGCGACAGCACAGGCCTGTCCATGCTGGTGAGACACGAGATGTCTCACAGTGCCGTCCTGTGTGTGCCAGGGGGGCCTGGCATCTCTCTCAGTACCATTCCATCAGGGTGACTCAGGCATGAGCTGTCTCATGGCCCTACCCTGTCCTAGCCAGGCTCAAGAGCTTTCTTTCGTTGGTGCCAGCATGACGTCAAATAGTTTAAAGTGCCAAGATCATGCTTCCTTTCAGAACGCCTGTGAACAGCATCAAACTAGGACCAAGTTCCCAACAAATTGGACTGTTCCTTCTTTATCTGCACTATGTTAAATGAAGGGGCACATCTTCTATTTTAATCTTTTAAAAGATTAAACTACAGATAGCCCTGAACCCACAGCAGAGTTGAACAGATAAATTAAGATCTAGATCTGAACTTTCACAAAAGTTTGGGAGTCAGATCAGGAGGTTTAGTGTGTGTCTTGTCCCTGTATAAAACGAAATCCTTTTTCAATATTAATAAAATTAGAAGAAAATAGCTAAAACTTAGACTCCCACCATCTTACTTACATAGCCCAGTGGGGTGTTGAGAGACAATTATGTTGGAAATTTTCTAAGTGTCTGCATTGGGTTTCTCTTCACCTTTAGGCTGCTGTACAAATCCATAGATTCTCACATGGAGGACGTGGGACCCATCTATAACCACAGGGTGGAGATCTCCATTTTCTTCATTATCTATATCATCATCATTGCTTTCTTCATGATGAACATCTTCGTTGGTTTCGTCATTGTCACGTTTCAGGAACAAGGAGAGCAGGAATACAAGAACTGTGAGCTGGACAAGAACCAGGTAACTTATGGCTGCATAGTGCAACCAAAGGCATGAAATACTAGCCAAAGGAAATGCACAAGGGCTAAAATAGCCAGAGTGGAACACAGAGGGCTATCAAACGGATAAAGCACTATGCTGTCTCTATTTGTCATCATTCAAGAACCAGGTAAAATAATTTCTTCTTAAAGGCCCATAGATAGAGCCAAATTCTGCTGTAACACCCGTGCAACCACACTGACTTCATTGAGGTTGCATGAGTGTAATTGAGGGCAGAATTTGGCCCACAGGAAGTACAGATGGAGGTTCCAGTAAGTAGAATGTATTTATTTAGATTGTGATCTAAAAGAAATTACATACCAAAAAAAATTGTCATGGAAATATATTATTTTTTTATACATGAGGCAACCCACCTACCTTATTTTTTTAATCTCTCCTTTCTCTTTAATAGCGCCAATGTGTTGAGTATGCCCTGAAGGCCCGCCCCCTGCGGAGGTACATCCCTAAGAACCAGTACCAATACAAAGTGTGGTATGTGGTGAACTCCACCTATTTTGAGTACCTGATGTTTGTTCTCATCCTGCTGAACACCATCTGCCTGGCTATGCAGGTAAGTCAGAGATCAGAAAGCACCATAGGTGTGTGGGTGGGCAGCCCTTCAGCTGGGAGGATGTGGGAGTCTGGCAGGGCTTTAAGTTGCTCCCCAGCCTATAACTCCCCTGGGGTGAGAAGGAAAAGACCTGACTCTCTTGTTTGTTAAAGACATTGGGCCAAATTCATTCCTGGTGAAACACCACTGAAACCATGAATCTGGCTCTCCTCTTCTTTCCAAGAGGGCACCAATAACTTAATTCTGTTTATCCTCAATTTAAAAAAAAATAGCAAAGTCACAGTCCAATTAAATGGTAATCCAAAGAACAAATGAACTCACAAGCCGCAGACAGAATCCTCTGAAAAGTAGAGGTGGGCCTGAACCAACACCGCAGATATAAATACCCCTATAACTCGAGTGTGGGCCAACACCCAGATCTGAACTTTGCATCTCACCCTTTTCCCAATTGGAAAGAGAGGACAAATATCTGGGGAAGAAAAGAAAGAGGGGGGTGGGAATGGAAGGGAAAAAATCACTAGCATCATCTTTAGTCTGTGGTCTGTTCTTGCATTGCTGAATGAAGACTAGGACGTTTGAGTTCACCATAAGAACACACCAAATACCACATTGATGGCCACATATTCAAAGGGGCTTCATCCCAGTCTTCTACATCATGGGTGCAGTTTTAGGTTTTGCACCTATGCTATTTCACAACAAAGTTATTGCCCAGTGTGTCAACTCCACATTGTGTGCAAAATTGCATTTGCTCATGCAGGTCAGGTAATTAGGTCCTTATATTTGCAGAGGTTGCATTTGAAAACTCAGCCAGGGGGTTCAAATTCTATCCTTGAATGTGTATTTATGGCAATGAGAGTCAGGCACATACAATTAAGGGCAGAATTTGTCTCAAAGGATGAAGTGTTGTAGCAGAACTGCAGCCTATTAGGACTACTTCCTTTCCTTCCTGGAGACTTGCTGTGTTCAAAAGCAAAGCTTCTGGAAGCAATACCAGACAAGGAAACTAATTAGTGATATAGTGAGAGGTATAGTACTGTCATGGATCAGAAACTAACTAAGAGACAGAAAACAAAGATCAGGAATAAATGGTCAAGTGTCAGTGGCTATGTCTACACTTATAGTTGTATATAGAGTACATACATTACACACCTCCCTAGCTTGGGTAGAAATAGCAGTGTAGACAGTGAGGCACTGCTTAGGTGAGTAGAATAAAGACATGCCAGAACCTTAGGATATATACCCTACCCAGCTCTCGACACCCCCAAGCAGTGCCTCCCACATCTATGTTCCTATTTTTAGCATTGTTGGCAGAGCCTTTCCCTGCTGCCTACGCACAACTACTTGTAGCCTTTCATTGCCACGTGTAGCTACACACCATAGTGTGGATGCAGACTAGTTTTCATAGAATCATAGAACTGCAGGGCTGGAAGGGACCTTGAAAGGTCATCAAGTCCAGCCCCCTGCACTGAGGCAGGACCAAGTAAATCTAGACCATCCCCCTAACAGATGTGTGTCCAACCTGTTCTTCAAAATCTCCAATGATGGAGATTCCACAATCCTGCTTGGAAGCCTAATCCAGAACTTAACTACCCTTACAGTGAGAAAGTTTTTCCTCATATCTAACCTAAATCTCCCTTGCTGCAGATTAAGCCCATTACTACTTGTCCTACTTTCAGTGGACACAGAGAACAACTGATCACAGTCCTTTTTATAACAGCCCTTAACAATTTGAAGATTGTTATCAGGACCTCCCTCAGTCTTCTTTTCTCAAGACTAAACATGCCCAGTTTTTTCACCTTTCCTCCTAGGTCAGATTTTCTAAGCCTTCTATCATTTTTGTTGCTCTCTCCAGTTTGTCCACATCTTTTCTAAAGTGTGGTGCCCAGAAGTGGACACAGTACTCAGGTGAGGCCTCACCAGTGTCAAGTAGAATGGGATAATTACCTCCCATGTCTTACCTACGTGTATTGACTCCCGTTAATACATCCCAGAATGATATTAAGCTTTTCTGCAACTGCATCATATTGTTGATTCTCGTTCAATTTATAATCCACTATAACCCCCATATTGTTTTCAGAAATACTACGGCCTACCCAGTTATTCCCCATTTTATAGTTGTGCATTTGCTTTTTCCTTCCTAAGTGAAGTACTTTGCACTTGTCTTTATTGAATTTCATCTTGTTGATTTCAGATCAAGTCTCCAAATTCTCAAGGTAATTTTGAATTCTAATCCCATCCTCCAAAGCCCTTGCAACCCTTTCCATCTTGGTGTCATCTGCAGACTTTATAAACATACTCTCCACTCCATTATCCAAGTTATTAATGAAAATATTGACTAGTAGCGGACCCAGGACTGACCCCTGTGGAACCCCACTAGATACACCCTCCCAATTTCACAGCAAACTATTGATAACTACTCTTTGAGTACTATTTTTCAACCAGTTTTGCACCCACCCTATAGCAATTTCATCTAGACCAGGGGTCGGCAACCTACGGCACGCGTGCCAAAGGTGGCGCGTGAGCTGATTTTTGATGGCACGCGGTGGCAGGCTGAGTGTCTCAGCCTGCCGCCGCTCTGGACTTTCCACTGCCGGCTCCTGCCAGCCGGGGTCCTGCTGCCGGCCTGGGTGAAGGAACCCCAGGCTGGCAGTAGGCTGAGACCCCGACTGGCAGGAGCCAGCAGCCGAAACCCCAGAGTGGGGGCGGGCTGAGACACTCAGCCCGCCGCTGCTCTGGGGTTCCCGCTGCTGTCCCCTTGCCAGCCAGGGTCCCACCGCTGGTCCCACTAACCTTGCTTCCAGTTGGAGTTCCAGCGCAGGCCCCCTGCCAGACAAGGTCCAGGCCTCCGGCCTTGCTCAGCCCTACCAGCCGCCAGCTCCACTCACCTCAGCTGCCAATCTGGGGTTCCAGACCCTGACCTCCTGCCAGCCGGTTAACAACTGATCACTCAGAAGCCTGTGTGCAGCTTAAAGTATCCAAATACGTGCCAGACATTGGAAAACTCAGCAAGGAAAAGCAAGGGCAAGGATCACACTCAACTGATAAGATCTGCATTTTAATTTAATTTTAAATAAAGCTTCTGAAACATTTTAAAAACCTTGTTTACTTTACATATAACAGTAGTTTGGTTATATAATATATAGACTTATAGAGAGACCTTCTAAAAAACATTAAAATGTATTACTGGCACGCGAAGCCTTAAACTAGAGTGTATAAATGAAGACTTGGCACACCACTTCTGAAAGGTTGCCGGCCCCTGATCTAGACCCTAGTTTGCCTATGAGAATGTCATGTGGGACAGTGACAAAAGCCTTACTAAAATGTTCACTGTAGTGTGTAGCTACACATGCTGCCTCCAGTGTAGACAAGACCAATCTGATACCCCCAGGTTCCATACAAGGACGATCATTGCTTAATATATTTATCAACTACATACACACAAAAGCAACATTAAAAGAACACTATTAAGGTTGCAAAGTCAAGCACTCTGTATTAGGAAGTGGCAGAATTAAGGTTGTCTGTTCAACCTTAATTGGGCCCCCCCTGTGCGTATGCATTATGATTAAAGCTGTTTTAGTCACAGGTATTTTTAATAAAAGTCATGGACAGGTTACAGGCAGTAAACAAAAATTCACAGCCTGTGACCTGTCTATGACTTTTACTAAATACCCCTAGCTAAAACTTGGGCAGGGGGATGGGCATGCTCGGAGTGGGAGGCAGTCCAGGGGCACAGCGGGTGCTGGGTGAGGTGGCCTGGGACCCCGCTGGTGCTGGGGGGGGGCTGGCAGGGGCTCCCTACCTGGCTCCATGTTACCCTGCAGCTCTGAGGAGGGGCCAGGGGGCTCCATGCGCTGCTCCCTGCACAAGCCCTGACTGCGTAACTCCCATTGGCCAGGAACCGCCGCCAATGGGAGCTGCAGGGGTGGGGCCTGTGGTGGCGGGGTCTGTGGGGGCGGGCAGTGCACAGAGCCCCCTGGCCTTTCCTCCGCCTAGGAGCTTCAGGACCATGCCAGGGGGAGCTGGGGAGCCCCTCACCCCAAGTAAGCGCCCCCCGCATTTCCCTGCCCCTAGCCCTGAGCCCCCTCCCACACACCCAAACTGCTGCTGCTGGCCGCTGCAGAAGTCACGGAGGTCACAGAAAATCATGGAATCCGTGACAAACTCGCAGCCTTAATTATGATACAGTCTTTAATTACATGATCACATGTGATTTTTTTCCACAGGCTCCCAGGCTCCAAGTGCTAGTCTCCCTCCCCAGTCGCCTCATGAAATCTCTGTCTCCACACCCACTCCCCAGTTGTCTTCCCCTGTCTCCCTCTCCCTAGAGCCTAGCTCCTTATCCCAGTCCTTTTGCCTAGCCAGTCCAAGTTCCTCCCCTGCACCACAGCTCCTTGTTAGATCTCTCTCCCTGCTGCACTGTTCCCACCACCCATACTTGTTCCTAGTCCCATTCTCTTTATCCAGCCAGTCCCAGTTTCTCTCCTCGCCTCCAGTCCCAGGCTCACCAGAATCCTTGTCCCAATTTATTCCTTTTTCTCCCCTCTGATCTGGCTTCTCTGTGCATTCGAATCAGACAGTTTCCTCCTCCATGCTGCCTGGGTGCTAGCAGGGGGATCACTGAGTGCACAGAACAGACAGACTCCCTCCTCTCAGCACAGTCCCCACCCCAACCCAGAGGGGCTGGGAGCAGCAGTCACACAGGGGTTATGTCTACACAGCAACTAGACTCCCGTGGCTGGCCCATGCCAGCCAACTCGGGCTCACAGGGCTCGGGCTGTGAGGCTGTTGTATTGCTGTCAGGGTCGGCTCCAGCTTTTTTGCCGCCCCAAGCAGTGAAGCGGAAAAAAAACAAAAAAAAGATAAAGCCGCGATCGGCGGCACTTGGGCGGCAGCTCAACTGCGCTGCTTCATTCTTCGGCGGCAATTCGGCGGTGGGTCCTTCGCTCCGAGAGGGACTGAGGGACCCGGCGCCAAATTGCTGCCAAAGACCCGGACATGCCGCCCCTTTCCATTAGCCGCCCCAAGCACTTGCTTCCTTCGCCGGTGCGTGGAGCCAGCCCTGATTGCTGTGTAGACTTCCAAGCTCGGGTTGGAGCCTGGGCTCTAGGACACTGTGGGATGAGAGGGTCCCAGAGCTCAGGCTCCAGTCCAAGCCCAGAAGTCTGTGGGATAAGAGGGTCCCAGAGCAATGGAAGAGCCCCACAGCCATGGGTTTTTCTTTGCTGTGTAGACATAACCAGAGTCCAGCTTCACTCCCCCGCCCTCCCCAGCCCTGAGCATGCTTAGTTGCTCTGTTTGGATGGTGCATGAACAGTCTGGTCAGCACTAGATGACGAAGAGATGGAGCATCTTAACTAAGGATCAACGGAGGGTCTTGTGGCACCTTTAAGACCAACAGAAGTTTTGGGAGCATAAGCTTTCGTGGGTAAGAACCTCACTTCTTCAGATGCAAGTAATGGAAAGTGAGGTTCTTACCCACAAAAGCTTATGCTCCCAATACTTCTGTTAGTCTTAAAGGTGCCACAGGACCCTCCGTTGATCCTTAGTTAAGATGCTCCATCTCTTCGTCATCTAGTGCTGACCAGACTGTTCATGCACCATCCAAACAGAGCAACTAAGCATGCTCCAACTCAGGGCTGGGGAGGGCGGGGGAGTGAAGCTGGACTCTGGTTATGTCTACACAGCAAAGAAAAACCCATG